TGTTTAACTTCTCTCTCCCTGGGGGAATCCCCAACTCCCCTAGATTGTGTCCGGGGTGGAGCTAGTTGGACGCATTCAGATGCGTACGCGGAGGACCCTGCGTGGGCACCTGGCCAAGATCTACGCCATGCACTGGTCCACAGACTCGAAGTGAGTGAAATGCTGCTGCTGACTGAGTTGGTGCAGTGACAGGGCAGGGGGGATGCTGGGGTGAGGGGCCCAGTGGGAGAGGAGCACTAATGGGGCCTGCTTCCTTTCTCCCCTCCTAGACTCCTGGTCAGTGCCTCGCAAGATGGGAAACTGATCGTGTGGGACACTTACACAACCAATAAGGTAAGAGTTGGGTGTGTGCCTCAGCAGGCAGATTCACCTGCTGTGGGGCCAGGAGTGGAGCAGCTGGGAACTCCTCTTCAGCCAAACTTCGGCCACCCTCCCTGCCATGCTGTGGCGCTCAGTGACATGCTTCATCAATGGCTTGGTCCCAGCTGCCTCTGCATTGCATAGCATGAGCCTCTGGGACACACAGCTCCCCACCTGCCCCTTCCCCCGCTGGATTGAAAACACTAACAATGCACATAACATGCAAGGCCAAATACGTACCATCCCCCCAACTGAATGTTTTAACCAAGCTCCGTTCATCTTCTTGCCTTACTGCTCGGCCCTGCCGGTCTCCCTTCAAACAGCAGCGCAGCTGTTTGTCAGAAGTCCATGTATTCTGGCCCTGCCAATCGCTCAGGCCCCTCTGCTTTACCTTGACGTGCCTGTTGCCTCTCTGAGGCCTTCTTGGGCAAGATGGCAAATACAGTGCCCCTCGACGCCCTCTCCTGAGGAAGTTGGAGAAGGTGTCACCTGTTCCCCCTCAGTATGTGTCTGTCTGGGGAGGCAACCTCTCAGCTATCTGCAGCTCTTGTTTTCCACTATGCATGGGGGCTTTTTCTTGCAGTGCTGGCAGCTCTTGGAACCCTAGGTCATCATTTTTTGGTTTTCTTTTTGTGAGGGGGGGTTGCCTTTTCTCTCTCTCTCTGCATCTTCAAGTCCCTCCGCTTCTCTGACATCAGGTTCTATTGTAACAGGCATTCTGGTTGGCTGTGTCTAGACTGGCCAGTTTTTCCGGAAAATCAGCCGCTTTTCCGGAAAAACTTGCCAACTGTCTACACTGGCCGCTTGAATTTCCACAAAAGCACTGACTTCCTACTGTAAGAAATCAGTGCTTTTTGCGGAAATACTATGCTGCTCCCGTTCGGGCAAAAGTCCCTTTTGCGCAAAACTTTTACGCAAAAGGGCCAGTGTAGACAGCTGAGATTTGTTTTGAGCAAAAAAGCCCTGATCGTGAAAATGGCAATCGGGGCTTTTTTGCACAAAAGTGCGTCTAGATTGGCCACAGACGCTTTTCTGCAAAAAGTGCTTTTGCGGAAAAGCGTCCATGCCAATCTAGACGCTCTTTTCCGAAAATGCTTTTAATGGAAAACTGTTCCGTTAAAAGCATTTGCGGAAAATCATGCCAGTCTAGACGTAGCCCTTGTGTTTTCTGTGTGATACATGTCACCAGGTAACATCTGGTGCGTCATTGGTGGCATTCTGCTATTTAATAGAATTAAATATGGATCAAAATCTGATTCCTTGGCCTTTTTCAGTAAATACTTTAGTATGTTGGTTAATCATACTTCATTATGTTTTCCGCCACCCATTGGAATGGGGATGATGGAGATTAGCCGTCAGGCTTCTAAATAAGTATTTCACTGAAATTGTTTAAACTGATGCCCGTTGTGTGTGGCCCATTGTCAGACATGATGAGGTTCAGTGCCCTATGTGCACTAAGAATAGATTTGAGATGCTCGGGCAGTAACACTATCCCAGGGAAGGGAGAATAATAGTCTCCTTTGTGAGCTCCTGGCTTGATTGCTGCAGATAAAACCACCATCCTGCCTGTCACTCAGGCCTGTAACCTAGATGGTCATCTTTGATTTGGAGCTTGTGAAGGAGTGGCAGTGCGCTGTGATATCTTGGAGGACTGTTGTGTACAGGGTTGCCAAAGGTGGGGGCAGCTGCCCTGGGCCCCAGTGATTTAAAAGGGGCTCCCAGCTGCTGCTACCTTGGCAGCTGCAATGTCTAGAACCCAGGGTCCTTTAAATCACCACGGGCACCTCCAGCAGCATGTGCCTGTAGCCACGGCACCACTGAAGGGTTGGCTGGGCCCCGCCCCTTCTGCCCAAGAGCCTGCCCCTTCCAGGGGTGCCCAGAGCTGGCTCCTCCCAGGCCCTGGCTAAGTCTTTTGTCAGCCCTGTGTACATCAATTTCCCCACGTGGTTCATGGTTAACTAGGTGTGGGGAAAGGGACTTTTACGCTTTGCAGGGACCCCAAGATACTAGTGAGACCAATGACTAGCTGCCTGGGGTCCCATGCCCGGGGAGAGCCCCAGAAGACAATGGCCACTACAGTTGCCTGGACATTTGGCACCTAGCAACTAATGAACATGGATGGCCCACCCTCATTGGGAAGCCAGCTGGCTGTGTCCAGCTGAAGACCAAAGGACTAGAGCAAGGGTCTCCAACCTTTCTACACCCAAGATCACTTTTTAAATGTCAGAACAAGCCAAGATCTACCGCCCCATCCTTCCCCCAAGACTCCGCCCCTTCCTTGAAGCCCCGCCCTCTGTTCTCCTCCTCTCCATCACTTGCTATCCCCAGCCCTTCTACACTATCATAGGGCTACACCGCTGCTTTTTTTCTATTCTTCTGTAGGAAGAGGTTTTCCCAACATTTGGCCTGTCTAGACTGGACCAAATGTCAGAAAAACCCCTTCTTTCGGCAGCCCCCTTATTCCTCATGGAATGAGGAATAGAGGGGTTGCCAAAACAGCATGTTTGCTCTTCCACTAAAAAAAGTGGAAGAACAAATACGTCACTGGATGCAGAAGAGTTTTTCTGGGATACCTCTGGAATCCCGGAAAAACTCCTGCAATCTGGCAATACCCTCACTGGGTTGAGACAGGATGTGTGGGCTATCAGGTGGGAATGAGACTCCGCCCCTTCCTTGAAGCCCCGCCCTCTGTTCTCCTCCTCTCCATCACTTGCTATCCCCAGCCCTTCTACACTATCATAGGGCTACACCGCTGCTTTTTTTCTATTCTTCTGTAGGAAGAGGTTTTCCCAACATTTGGCCTGTCTAGACTGGACCAAATGTCAGAAAAACCCCTTCTTTCGGCAGCCCCCTTATTCCTCATGGAATGAGGAATAGAGGGGTTGCCAAAACAGCATGTTTGCTCTTCCACTAAAAAAAGTGGAAGAACAAATACGTCACTGGATGCAGAAGAGTTTTTCTGGGATACCTCTGGAATCCCGGAAAAACTCCTGCAATCTGGCAGATTTATGGAGCTAGTGGCTGTGAAGGTGCAGGAGTTTGGGTGGGGGTTGTGAGGGGCTCAGGGGAGGGAGGTTGGGAGCAAAATGGGCTCAGGAAACAGATGTGAAGTGTGTGGA